CCCAGCTACTGGGGAGGCTGAGGCAGGAGAATGGCGTAAACCCGGGAGGCGGAGCTTGCAGTGAGCTGAGATCCGGCCACTGCACTCCAGCCTGGGCAACAGAGCGAGACTCTGTCTCAAAAAAAACAAAAGTAGAACCCCTTGTTTAAGTATTATGAGGACTTTGAACAGAGCAACAGCAGAGCATTAATCCAAGCGTGGCCCTTCTGAGCACAGGGCCCTGAGTGGCTACACAGGTCTCGTGCCCGTGAAGCCAGCACTGGCAGGGGCCCTGCCAGTTGAAGCAAGGGAGATGGCAGTGGGGCTTGGGGTCTGACTCCAGAGACTTTGGTGTGAGGGGTGCACTGCTGGGGGCAGGGTGCCCTTCCCACTGGGCTCTTTTTGACCAGGAGGCTCTTGCTAGAGGCAGGGGTGGGTAACTCACAGCCTTCCTTCAAGGAGGTTTCTGTTACCTCTGAAACGCTTTATTGACCCAAATAAGCACGCTCATAAGGGCCACGCTTGGGGCCGGGCACAGTGGCTCACGCCTGTAATTCCAGCACTTTGGGAGGCCGAGTTGGGCAGATCACTTGAGGCCAAGAGTTCGAGACCAGTCTGGCCAGCATGATGAAACCCCATCTCTACTAAAAATACAAAAAAAAATTAGCCGGGCTTGGTGGTACATGCCTGTAGTCTCAGCTACCTGGGAGGCTGAGGCAGAAGAATGGCTTGAACCCGGGAGGCGGAGGTTGCAGTGAGTCGAGATCGCACCATTACACTCCAGCCTTGGCGACGACAGAGCAAGACTTAGTCTAAAAAAAAAAAAAAAAGCCCATGCTTGGTTTAATGTTCTGGTGTTGGCCTGTTGAAAGTCCTCAGAAATCACCCCAGAGATCTTGTTTCTTAACCTAGAGTAGGCAAAGCTCACTACCCTCCCAGCCCACGCTTGCCTTCTCTATCCAAGTGGCTCAGAACTGTGGACTGGGGCAGGAGGGAGGACTGAACGACTAGGACTCTGTAGAGTCTTTGTAGCTAAGAGATTTGCTATTGAATGAGGCAGATCTGAATTCAACTTGGCTTCTAGCTGTGTAACCTCTCTTCTTGATCTGTAAAATGGGATTATGTCCGTACCTAGCTGCTAAAATTGTTGGGAGGACTAAAGCCTGATAGTGTGAACTATTCATATTGGCTAGAGGGGCTGGGGAAGAGGACGTCTGGAGTTGGGAGAATTCTGGATGTCTGGAGGAAGAACTGGGGGCAGGGCATGGAGTCTTTCACTTCCAGAAAGGCGGGAATAGGACATCAGGCTGGAAGTGTGGGGCTGGAACTCCCCCAACCTCCCCGTATCAGAACTCCTCCCAGTGACCCAAATAAGCCAATCTGTTTAAGCAGAGAGGCCCAGGGGAAGACCGGCTTCCCAAATCTGAGCTGGGGGTTGGGGAGACACAGAAGGTAGGGTCTGGATAAATGGGAGTTTCTCTTGATTCTAAGAAGCTGGAAGGGACCTGGCAAACAGCCTCTGGGAGAGTCTGGGGGAGTCCTAGGCAAGTCTTGACAGAAACGATTATTAGGCAGGATATGTCTGAGACCAACCCCTGGGGAAATTGAGAGAGACGAAAGAAGGCTGAGTACCTCAGATGAGGAATTATAAGGAGTAGCCTGAGCTGTAACATCCCCCATGTTGGCTGGTGCTGTAGCAGGAGGGATGGAAGTTACACTGCAGGAAGGACTTCCTGCCAGGGAGGAATGTGCATGTCAGATGGAAGTGGATTATTTATTAGAGTTGGATTAGCCCGGGGATGTCTGTGCTCTTTAACGTGCAGTCAGCTGACCATGTTGAGTGGGCAGGAACCTACCCACTTTGTAGGCCATGGAGTTCTTGCCGCGGGATGCCTCATTAACCCTGCGTTATGAGGCTCCCCCTGGAGCCTTTGAGGAGGGGTAAGCAGCCATCTTTGGGGGTTGGGCGCCTCCAAAGTGTGGTCCAGTGAGCATGAGTTCAGATGAGAAATGTTCTGGGCTTCCTACTGGCCTGATTTTTGGGCTTCCTATTGGCCTGATGTCAAGGAGTGATGGAGATTAGACTACAAGGGGGACTTCCTCAGCAAAATCACAGATAAGAGCCTAATACAATTCTTTCCTTTTTTAAGAAAGATTATGGCCCAGCTGAGAGTGGGAGGTTTAAAGGTTAGACCACTGCAGGGACTTCCCAGTAGGTAGGAGTGGAGAGACCCCACCTTGTGGGTAAGTGAAAAGAGGAATATGTCATGTCCCCTATCTGGGAAATCTTGAGCAAGAGGAGAAACCACTGCTGGGCTGGTTAGACTGGCTGTGACATGATGGAGAGACAGGGGAATCACTGAAATGACCTAGAAGGTCCTCTTAAACTTTCTGGTTGGACCGAGCAAGAGGAGGGAGAGAGAGGTGTGTCTCTTGTGAGGTGGGTGAACCTCTTTTCATTCCCTCCCAAACCACCAACTTCCACCCAAGCCAGGATCTGTCACAACTCGAGAGGTGGAAATTCCGGTTTCCCTGGCCCAGAGCTCCCAGTTCTGGCTTTGGCATGATGGGCACCTGGAGGGCCGCACTCCCGTTCCAGCCAGGCTGAGCCTTCTGTCCCCTGCTTCTGGGGCCTGGGAATCCCCCTTCTTCTTTCTCCTGAATGGCACCCCCGCCCTAGAATCCAGACACCGAGTTTCCCACTGTGGCTGGTTCAAGGGTATGTGAGGTGAGATGGGTGGCTTGGGGTGGGTGGTCTTGGGAAAGATTATGTAGAGGCCCAGGGAGGCAGACACAGGAGCAAGAGACAAGGGGGCCGGGGAGCTGCAGAGGCTGGGAGCCGGCCAGCCACCCCTGCCCAGGCAGCTCCCCAGGAAATGCTGATAGCCAACCTGGCGGGATGGAGCCTCATTGCCTCCCTGGAAGAATCAGGCCAGGCAGGGCTGAGCCTCAAAGACCCTGAGCCCAGCTGGGGCTGGGGGAGAGGTTAGAGCAGACAGACTCAAAGGTCTGCCCACCTGGGTCAGAGCTGAGTAAGAGGCACAGGTGTCAACTGATCTGAAAGTGACAGGAGAGTAAGGTCTGAGGAATTTATATTTTGGGTGCAGGAACCTGCTCCCCAAAATGTCCCCTGCCCAGAGCCAGGCAACGGTTTGGGCTTGGGCTATGAGAAGAGGGAAGGCAAAGGAGGAAAGGCCGGAAAGACGTCCTGAGAATAAGGCAAGAAAAGGCAGACCAGAGCTGTTGGTGAGAAGACAGCAGAAGAAGAAGGATAGGGGACACCCACAGGGGACAGTGAGGTGACAGGCTGAGGCTTGGAAGGATGATGAAAGTGAGACTGTCTTAGGGCCCTTCTAGATAGGGAACCTTCCCTGCCCTAATGTCCCCCCCCGCCCCAACCAATACACACGCTTCTGCTGCCTGGGGCTCTCCTATTGGTCCCCAGGGGGGATGTGGTAAGAACTGCTCACCCAGAAAGTGCCCGGGTGCCTGTTTCCCCAGAGCTCCCTGGTGACAGTCTGTGGCTGAGCATGGCCCTCCCAGCCCTGGGCCTGGACCCCTGGAGCCTCCTGGGCCTTTTCCTCTTCCAACTGCTCCAGCTGCTGCTGCCGACGACGACCGCGGGGGGAGGCGGGCAGGGGCCCATGCCCAGGGTCAGATACTATGCAGGTAAGTGTATGATGGCAGCAAGTGTGGGGATGGCAATAGAGAGCTGGAGGTGGGTGGAGGAAGGAGAGAGGAACAGAGGAGAGGGGGGAAATGGACATGGAGAAACGGGGACACAGAGAGAGATGCCAGGGAGAAACAGAGGGTTTCGGAGAAAGAGACACAGCCAGAAATAGAAGTCCAAATGGAAAGAAAGGCCACTGGAGAGCAGATTGAGAAAAACAGGGGGCCACGGGGCCACGGGGCCACGGGCACTGCTTCTTCCAGTTCTCCAAAATCGGTAATTTTTCTTTCCATCCTTAAATATCACTGTCACCAAGCTGGGCACCTCAAACTCCTAACTGCTTCACACTCCCAAGTACCCCAAAATCAAGGCCCATGCTAGAAGACCATGCGTGGACCCGGTGACCCAGGGCACACCAGGCCCATGCCAACCACATAGATCATGCTGGACCATACCATGTCCAGGACTGTGGGATGGTTGGTCGGAGAATGGGCCCTGGAACCCACACGCAAGCACAGCTTGACTGGTTTCTTACTGAGACTGTGGAGGCTGCTGGTCCCCTCACCTCCAGGGAGAAGACTCAGGAAAGGATATAGACACTGCAGGAGTTGTAGGTGACTGGGCGTGGCTGTGTCTTTAGCATCTTTCTGGGGCAATCAGTAAAGGAAACGTATATTACCCACTGATGCAGAGACCTCCTCTGTGTTGGATGCAGGGCGTGCAAACATGGATAGGCCTCAGCCCCTGCCCTCAAGGTGTTCACAGTCACAAAGCGGGAAGCACATGAGCAAGCAGACCATCAATACAGGGTGATCTGTTCAGTAACTGAGGGATTTATGCAGCTTTGGGGGAGGCCTGGCTTCCGGGAGATGCTCCTCCCTGAGGCCAGCCCTTCCAGCTCGCAGCTGCACCATATTCCCCAACTCCTCCCCTCTGTCCTGTGTAAGATTCCCTGAGCCTACAAACATATCAGTTAGCTAGTCAGCTTTCTAACTAATGCAACAGTGCAAGTGCTAATAAGAGAGGATCTGAGGAGCTCCTTCCTCCTCGCTGATGTGCCAGTGGGACAGGAACATACACCCCCACCCACCCCACAATGCCAAGGTCATGGAGAGGACCTAGATGAGCCTCCCACACCTGGCTCACTATCTCTGCCCAGGGGACATCCAGCCATGCCCACACAGATCTTTGAAGAAAAATGCTTCCTCTCTGTTCATGGTGACTCTACTGGTGGGAATTTCCTTTAACAGAAGAGGAAGAAAGCAGGGGTGGTTGGGGGGGTGGCGAGAGGGACCCTCTGACACACACCCTCCTGTCTGCATGTAGCTTTGCTGCTTGTGGCTGCCAACACTTTCCTGTTTGTCTGTCTGCCTGCTGCTCCCCGTCCTACTGAGGACCAAGGCATCCTCCCCCATGGTAGCCCTCCCTGTCCCAGGCCTGGAAGAGCATCCATTGTGCCTCACTTTATTTCCTGTCCCCATTACTCTGTCTCTGGCTGCCTCTTCTCTCTACTGTGGGCTCAACACACAAAGCTCTTGTGGCTGCCGGCAGGGTGGGGTGAAGGGGAGAACTGCTGGTGGAGGAGAGTGGGTCTAGCTGCCAAGGCCCGGGGAGCACACTCAGGCAACCATTCCCCTTCCCCCACTTATATCTCAGGAGTCAGCTGCCCACCAAGTCCTCATCACTCTCTCCTTCTTACTACCTCCAACAGGGGATGAACGTAGGGCACTCAGCTTCTTCCACCAGAAGGGCCTCCAGGATTTTGACACTCTGCTCCTGAGTGGTAATGGAAATACTCTCTATGTGGGGGCTCGAGAAGCCATCCTGGCCTTGGATATCCAGGATCCAGGGGTCCCCAAGCTAAAGAACATGGTAAAGAGTCCAGGGATAAAGAGTGTGGGCTGGGAGTGAGAAGGGGGCCAGCAGCTGCCCTGGGCTTGGCTGCCTGTGCATGAGTAACAGCTCAGTTGCTGCTATCTGTAATCAGCAGTTCTCTTTATATGTATATCGTGACAATATAACAGACAGGAAATGTTGTGGCCTCACTTTTTTTTTTTTTTGAGATGGAGTCTTGCTCCGTTGCCCAGGCTGGAGTACAGTGGGCACGATCTTGGCTCACTGCAACCTCCACCTCCCGGGTTCAAGCAATTCTTCTGCCTCAGTCTCCCAAGTAGCTGGGACTACAGGCACACACCACCATGCCAGGCTAATTTTAATAGAGATGGGATTTTACCATGTTGGCCAGGCTGGTTTCGAACTCCTGACCTCAGATGATCTGCCTGCCTTAGCCTCCCAAAGTGTTGGGATTACAGGCGTGAGCCACCATGCCTGGCCTGTGACTTCACTCTTCATTGGTATTGTGAATAGTGATTGAATAATATTAACTGCAAAAATGGCTGATATGGAAATCATTGACATATGAGATAAACATTGACTCAAATTATGTCAACAATTTGATATCTAACCACTAGTAGAGATCACTGATGCTTCTGTGTCTTTTTTGCCAAGGTCATGGAGAGGACGAGATGGAGCCTTGCTTTGTCACCCAGGCTGGAGTGCTGCAAGCTCTGCCGCCTCCCAGGTTAACGCCATTCTCCTGTCTCAGCCTCCTTAGAAGCTGGGACTACAGGCGCCCGCCACCACACCTGGCTAATTTTCTTTTTGTATTTTCAGTAGAGATGGGGTTTCACTGTGTTCGCCAGGATGGTCTCCATCTCCTGACCTCGTGATCCGCCTGCCTCACCCTCCCAAAGTGCTGGGATTACAGGTGTGAGCCACTGCGCCTGGCCTTTTTTTTTTTTTTTTTTGAGACAGAGTCTCACTCTGTTGTCCAGGCTGGAGTGCAATGGCATGATCTCGGCTCACTGCAACCTCCGCCTCCTGGGTTCAAGCAATTCTGCCTCAGCCTCCTGAGTACTGGGATTACATGCGCCCGCCACTAGGCCTGGCTAAAGAGACGGGATTTCACCACGTTGGTCAGGCTGGTCTCGAACTCCCAACCTCAGGTGATCCGTCCGCCTCAGCCTTTCGAAGTGCTGGGATTACAGGCGTGAGCCACCATGCCCGGCTGCTTCCGTCTTAGTCACCCTATTACTGGGAACAATGTGAGGAAGGAAGGAAGAAAGGGAGAGAAGGCACTAGCAATATAGTGATCACCTCCGTGGTTCGTGTATCCTGATGTGTAGTCTGCTGACCACCTGCACATATGAGATGCTGGTTAAAAATGCAGATTCTCTAAGGCGTGACCCAGGAACAAACATTTTAAACAATTTCCCCAGGAAATGTGCGGTTTGACAATTGCTGCCATATATACCATTCTTCGTCTTAGGTGTTTTGTATATGCCACCTGGTTGTATCTGCCAGTAGCCTATGAAATTGACCAAGATCTCTCAGTTAGGAAATAGCCAAGTCTAGATTTAAACTTGGGTCTGTCTGATTCCTTAGGCTGTGTTCAACTATGGAGCTATGTCTGATATCAGTATTATTCAAGTAATAGCCATGGTCACAAACTGATGCTATTACTGCCCACCAGCATATCACTAAGCACCATGCCTGCTGTTGATTTCACATCAGAGAAGGGAAGCAGGTCACAGCGAGAACCGAAGACCTCATTTCTTTTCATCTTGCCCTCCCAACTCCCTACTTTCAGATACCGTGGCCAGCCAGTGACAGAAAAAAGAGTGAATGTGCCTTTAAGAAGAAGAGCAATGAGGTAAGTGGAGGTGGGCGAGTGGGGGTAGAGTGGGTAGAGAGCCCTGGCATCCCTACACCATCCCTGGATAGCCTCAGGTTGGGCAGCAGTGGAGGGCGCTTGTTTGCATGGTTATCTCCTGGATTATGTTCTACAGAGAGGTACAGGGACTGCCCCAGCATTACCCAGCCTTTCTCCTCAGTGAGGGGGCAGGCTCTGGGGGTCCAGGAAGTTGAGGTAAGTGGCCTGGAGACCTAAATTCTCTGTCTCCCTCAGACACAGTGTTTCAACTTCATCCGTGTCCTGGTTTCTTACAACGTCACCCATCTCTACACCTGTGGCACCTTCGCCTTCAGCCCTGCTTGTACCTTCATTGTGAGTTCTCTGGTGCCCAGTGCTCAGGCCCCCAAGCATTCCTTCTCACATCTACCCTCGGCATTCCTCTGTAGCTCTGGAAAACTCTGGCCTTCCAGATGCAGGACCCTCATGAACTTCCTGGCCCCAGACCAATTTCCCTCTATGTCACTTTCCCTTCCTTCCTCAAGCCCCTCATTTCCCAGATGTGAGACCTTGGCGTTCTGGCCCCCCAGCCTCTCTCCCCATTTAGGAACTTCAAGACTCACACCTGTTGCCCATCTTGAAGGACAAGGTCATGGAGGGAAAAGGCCAAAGCCCCTTTGACCCCGCTCACAAGCATACGGCTGTCTTGGTGGGTGAGTATCAGGTTTCTCACCTCATCCCAACATCTGCTTTCTCCAGTCACGCTGTGAAATATGGAATAGTACAGAGTTTTCCGAAAGGCAGGGAAAGCTGGGTGTAGTGATGGATACGTATGGTCCCAGTTATTTGGAAGCTGAGGTGGAAGGACCCTTGAGCTTAGGGGTTTGAGTCTAGCCTAGACAACACAGGGAGATCGTCTCAAAAAAACAAAAACAAAAACACACACACAAAAACCAGACTTTAGTGCCTTATGCCTGTAATCCTAGCAGTCTGGGAGGCTGAGGTGGGTGGATCACGTGACCCCAGGAGTTCGAGACCAGCCTGGTCAACATGGTGAAACCTCATCTCTACTAAAAATAAAAAAATTAGCCAGTCATGGTAGGGCGCACCTGTGGTCCCAGCTACTCAGGCGGCTGAGTCACAAGAATTGCTTGAACCCGGGAGGTGGAGGTTGCAGTGAGCCGAGATTGCACCACTGCACTCCAGCCTGGGCAACAAAGCAAGACTGTCTCAAAACAAAACAAAACAAAACAAAACAGGCAGAGGAAAGAGAGAGGGAAGCCAGAAGCCTCAGATCACAAGATCAGAGGGAGAATTAAGTACCCCCAATCACCAACTCCTGCTGAAATTGCCACAAAAAGTGGTGGAGAAAGATGGATGTGGAAAGACACAGAGGCACGAGGGTTCGGGAAGGGTATTGGGTAGAGAAGAGGCCTGAGAGTGAGCCGCTGTTCAACAATCGTGTGAACACTTCCTCTGATGTACTGGGCACTGTGCTGGGTAGTATAGGAGTTATAAACAAGAAATCAGACCGGGTGTGGTGGCTCACACCTGAAATCTCAGCACTTTAGGAGGCTTACAACGTCACCCATCTCTACACCTGCGGCACCTTCGCCTTCAGCCCTGCTTGTACCTTCATTGTGAGTTCTCTGGTGCCCAGTGCTCAGGCCCCCAAGCATTCCTTCTCACATCTACCCTCGGCATTCCTCTGTAGCTCTGGAAAACTCTGGCCTTCCAGATGCAGGACCCTCATGAACTTCCTGGCCCCAGACCAATTTCCCTCTATGTCACTTTCCCTTCCTTCCTCAAGCCCCTCATTTCCCAGATGTGAGACCTTGGCGTTCTGGCCCCCCAGCCTCTCTCCCCATTTAGGAACTTCAAGACTCACACCTGTTGCCCATCTTGGAGGACAAGGTCATGGAGGGAAAAGGCCAAAGCCCCTTTGACCCCGCTCACAAGCATACGGCTGTCTTGGTGGGTGAGTATCAGGTTTCTCACCTCATCCCAACATCTGCTTTCTCCAGTCACGCTGTGAAATATGGAATAGTACAGAGTTTTCCGAAAGGCAGGGAAAGCTGGGTGTAGTGATGGATACGTATGGTCCCAGTTATTTGGAAGCTGAGGTGGAAGGACCCTTGAGCTTAGGGGTTTGAGTCTAGCCTAGATAACACAGGGAGATCGTCTCAAAAAAACAAAAACAAAAACACACACACAAAAACCAGACTTTAGTGCCTTATGCCTGTAATCCTAAGGTAAGTGGAGGTGGGCGAGTGGGGGTAGAGTGGGTAGAGAGCCCTGGCATCCCTACACCATCCCTGGATAGCCTCAGGTTGGGCGGCAGTGGAGGGCGCTTGTTTGCATGGTTATCTCCTGGATTATGTTCTACAGAGAGGTACAGGGACTGCCCCAGCATTACCCAGCCTTTCTCCTCA